ATGGGAAGCAGGGTCGCCAGCATTAGAACTGGCACCTATATGGGATATAGGTGCAGGCAAGGACTTTAGCCACTAGGCCCTGGGCCCTCCATACAGCTTTTTTCTTTCTTCATTCATAATGCTGGGGTTTTTGTCATCTTACCTAGATTGCTTTTCTTCTTCTTTGTGGAATTTTATGCCTTCTAAATATTTTACTTTCTCCATTGCCTTACTACCCATCATTCCATAAACATTATGTTTGCTGATATTTGGGAGAAAACTATTGTTCTCTGTGTGTTTATTTTATAAGCTTTCAGAGCTCTCACATCATTTCTGATCCTTTGTGACTGATTCTCTGAGGATTCGTGCAAGGAAACATCAGTTTTATCTTTTTGTTGCCAAATCTATTATATCTTTGTATTTTGTTTCCATGACTTTTTTTTTTTTCCTCGAGCTTCCGGAAACACCCTTAAGTGACAAGGACGGTAACGATAATCCACAGCCTGCTTTTACTTCTGATTTTCAAGACGCAACGCTGGTGTTCTATTGTTCGGGGTGATATCAAACTATTGATCGGAGAGCCTCACCCATGTCTTTAATTCAGCGCGTGCTTCTTGGTGCCCGTCCAAGTGCCTTGGATTTGGCAATCTGTAGAACACGCAGGGCCCTGGGGAGACGCAGGATCGATGGCTGCGGGCCAGCACAAGCCAGATTGCAGAGGTTTGCAGAGCGAGGTCTGCTCCAGTCCTTCCTCACGGCTTGCCAAGGGTGTTCATCGGGGAGGGCTGGTTGTGTGTGTGTGTGTGTGTGTGTGTGTGTGTGTGTGTGTGTGTGTGTGTTTATTTTTCAGCACCTTTTCAGCATTTATGAGTAAAATGATGTTCTAGGGTTGTGTTTTTCTTATGTGACCTATGAGCATGGTTTTAAGATCTCGGTGCATTTTTGTTCATTTTTCCCAAGAAATATCTGAGTGCCAATTAGATGCCAGGCACTGCTCCATTATTGTTCATGTTAGAGGTGTGACTTCTGTAAGCTGCCACGGGGCTCCAGGACCATGCTCGTGTCGATTTGCAAATGTCGACCTGCTTCTGTCGTACTAGGCTAAACTGCATTTCACTTACCACGTTATACTTTGGCTTTTAATTCATCAGTAGATGTCTCTTATTAAAAGCTGCAAAAGAAGAGAAAGCCAGAAACCCAACATCCAGTTTCCAATCATTGTCGTAAGGACAATCCTTATGAATAGACTTTTTTTTTTCCTGTTTTCAATTATGTAAATTAAATTTTTTTTCTTTCTTTCCTTTTTTTTTTTTTAACATTTTAAGGAAGGTTTTCCCGTAAGCATTCGGCATTTGGGTCTGTGGCCTCAGTCCCAGCAGCAGAGTGGCACCAGGCATTCTGGGCTAAGGTGCCCATTGCTGCAGGTCTTGCATCTCTGCTCTGGGTTAGTAAGCTGGCGGCACTGCCTAAGCTGCGAGTGCCCTGGGCATCCTGTGCGTGTAGCGGAGGTTCATTTGTGTCTAACTCCATGGACACCAGATAATAGGCAAGGAACAAATCATCGATAAGATAGAGAAGTGTGTAGTATACTGAGAAGGTGGTCAATGAGGGCTGGGGAAAAAACAATGAAGGAAGAGCAGAGAAAACGTTACAGGGAGGGGGACCAGCGTTTCTGCTCAGTGGGGGCCTGCACTGGTGGTACAGCAGCGTCTCCGCCTCCTGTGACGTTGGCCCCCCATGGCCAGGCGCCGGTTTCAGGCTCAGCTGCTCTGCTTCCGATCCAGCTCCCTGCTGATGGCCTGGGAAAAGTAGCAGAAGATGGCCCACATGCTTGGCACCCGGCTCCTGGCTTCCACCCCGCCCAGCCCTGGCTGTTGTGGCCATGTGGGAGAAGGAACCCCTCTCTCACTGTCTTTCCCTCTCTCCCTGTAAGTGAAAATAAATCAATAAGTCTTTACCTCACACAGTTCCTGAAAGCAGGGCAAGGGCTCATGTGGGTAGACGTCATTTTTGTAAAGAGAATTTAGACAGCAGTGGGAGTGAAAGGTGTGTAGCGGGGGCCCCCACCGTCAGTGATTCTCGCGGGGCCCGTCGTGGGAGGGAGGAGCGAGGTTCATGGAGCACATTCTGCGGGGTTCTCTGTGACTCCATTTACGTAAAACAGGCAGCACTTCTCCGGGTGCCAAAGCAGTGAGCACCGAAGCGAGGCAGAGGCTGGGAAGAGGCACAGCTGGGATCCGTGGGTGCTAAGGTTTCGTCGATCCACCCAGGTGCTACTAACAGCAACAGGTGCAGCCTGGGACACTCTCCCAACTACGCATTCATGATGCACAACTTTCCATGTGAATACTACATATTGGGCCCAGCACGATGGATCATCAGCTAAATCCTCACCTTGCATGCCTGGGATCCCATATGGGTGCCAGTTCGTGTCCCGGCTGCTCCACTTTTCATCCACATCCCTGCTTGTGGCCTGGGAAAGCAGTACAGGACAGTCCAAAGCCTTGGGACCCTGCACTCATGTGGGGAGGCCCAGAAGAAGCTCCTGGCTCCTGGCTTCAGAACAGTTCAGCTCTGGCCATTGTAGCCACTTGGGGAGTGAACCAACAGAAGGAAGATCTTTCTCCCTGTCTCTCCTTCTCTCTGTAAACCCTCTTTTCCAATAAAAATAAATAAGCCTTTAAAATGGTTTAAATACTGCATGCCAATGTTTTGTACATAAGTAAAACGCATCGCTGTCTTGCTAATAGATGGGATACATTCAAAACCTGTTACTGTGTCTTATTCGTCTTTGCAACTGTAGCACCTGCTTCAGTGCCGGGCACACAGCAGGGATTCCCTATGTGTGTGAATAAAAAAATGCATGATGAACAAATAAGTCTCTGTATATGTTCTATATTCATAGACATATGGCCTCCCTCTTTATAGTCTCCTTCGTATGAGTGCAGCCTGCCTCCCTTATACCAATCATTCCGGAAAAATGGAAGCAATTGCAATTTTCTTTGTGATTAACTTTATTTTTAGCACAAAGAGGTAGAAATTAAAAAAAAGGAGAAATGCATGCATAGTTTTTCTGTAGCATACATTTTTCATGAAATTTTATTTTCTATTCATATAAAGAAGACAGATCTCATGAATTTTGTAGATGCAATTTTTTTTAAGATTTATTTATTTTTATTGGAAAGTCAAATATACAGAGAGAAGAAGAGACAGAAAGGAAGGTCTTTCGACTGATGATTCACTTCCCAAGTGACTACAATGGCCAGAGCTGAGCCAATCCAAAACCAGGAGCCAGGAGCTTCTTCTGGGTCTCCCACATGGATGCAGGGTCCCAAGGCTTTGGGCCGTCCTCGCCTGCTTTCCCAGGCCACAAGCAGGGAGCTAGAAGGGAAGTGGGCCGCCGGGGTTAGAACTGGCGTCCAAATGGGATCCTGTGGCACATGCAAGGTGAGGGCGTCAGCCACAAGGCTGCTGTGCTGGGCCCTGTAGATACAATTCTAAGAAAACAACCATACTTCCCTCCCTCCCTAATTGTCTTTTTATTTGTGCAGCAGCAAGGAGATTTTTACTCTGACATTTGTGTTTTAAACATTTGTTTCTCTGTCCCTCCACCCATGGGTAAGGATACTGCATTCATCCAAGAGCATGCAAACAAAGGGGGATTTAGAATGAGGACATCCAGTGAGAGGCAGGGAGCACTTGCCCACAGGCCTTGGCACTGTCCCAGAACATGGTGTTGCCAGGAGAAGCCGTTCCACTCATGTGAAAGCCACAGATGCCAGACTACAGAGGGATGAGGGGACACGGGATGTGAGGGCCTGCAAATGCTGAGGGCTAACAGATTTTTGCAGTTGTTTGATTGTGCATCTTAAGAGAGCATGAGATGAGGAGGGGCGAGGCATTTGGCACAAGGTGGAAGGCTCAAGTTGAGTAGGCACTCAGCCCACATTGCAGCGCCCGGGTTCAAGGGACGGCCCTGGCAGGAGGCTAGAATTGAGAGCAGAGCCGGAACCAAACCCAAACACTCCAGTGTGAAATGAGAGAGATTCCCACCGCCATAATTTTTTTTTTGGTAGGGCTAAAAGAACAGTGAATGAATTTGCCTTCCCTCAGCCTATTATCTACCAGAGAAGAAGCAGGCTCAAGTCGAGGATGACAAAAAGAGAGAGGAGGATGACTGGGACGGGTTGAATCAGTTCTGATGTGGGAGGCGGTGTCCGGCACTAGGGTTCTGATCTAGCAGCGCCAATTGGTGCAGCCAAGGGGAGCCGTTCTCCACAACAGGAAAGTGGAAACGTAACCTTAGGTGGGGCTAAGCCACGCAGGTGATGGCAGGATGAAGCCCGGTGACTTGGCAGCAGTTTTGATACTGGGCAAGATGTAGGAGTGCCGAATTTCACAGCTATCAACCTTGGTTCACAAAAGAGTAAGTCGCGAAAGGTGGCTCCCGAAGCCTGTAAGCGCGGCAGAGCTCGGGTGGAGAGGGGTGTCGCCCAGTGTCCCTCTGCAGAAAGCGTGCGTCCTGCTTGCTTCTTCCTCCCCTCTGGCGTCGCCGTGGGCTTGGTTCTTCAGCTGGGTATGAGCACACATCTTTGGCTTTGTGTCTTTGTGAGAATAAGCTTCAGAGAGACCGTCGCAATAAGGGACATTGGCAAGGACGGAAACCAACAGAGAGATCAGCACATCCACAAGTTCCCATCTCATATTCATTCCACTCTAGTCAAAGAATGCGGTCTTCTTTTGTGTTCCCTCCCTCTCTCTCTCAACTCTGAAGGTGGAAACTTAAATGCTCAATAAGTACCAAGCCTGCAGAGCATTTTGTCAAATTAAAACATGATCCAGTGTGAGCACACCCCTTCCATCCTGCTTTGCTCGGGAAGCAGAGGAATGAAATGTGACTGCACCCCTACGAATCTGTGTCCCATAGGTCCATGCGCGCATGCGTCACCGGTCTTCTGGGAGGGAACTAAAAGTACAGAAATGGAGAATCACTAACGTCATGCAACCCCTTCATTTCTCAGGTATGAAAACTGAGGTCCACAGAGGTGATGTGATTTGCCAAAAGTCATGCAACTAGTGGCAGAGCCAGGCCTAGAAGCCAGGTGCCCTGGCTCTCAAGACATTCCGCTGCCGGAGGAGTGTAACAGGTATTATCATGTTGGGGGGTGGTCTGGGTCAACCCCGTTCAGCCCAGAGCTGCTTGAGCGTCTAAGGAACTAGAGGACACATTCTTGGAAAAGTGGCTAGGGTGAAGTTCAGAGTCAGGCCAGGGCACAGAGGGTAAGATGCGAAACGCAGCCCTGCTGGTCCCAGGGCGGGTTCACCTTCTGCAGGTGCTGGTATCATGTGTGACGGTGAGTCGTCATTCGGGAACGCTGCTACCCATGTACTCTCTCCAGGGCAATCCACAGTGCTGGGAAAATCGATGGCCACTTGCAGAGGATGCAAGGGGAGAGGGAGGCCAGAGGAAAAAGGAGGCAGGAAGGCAAATGAGGAGGCATCGTTGGAATTCAGAAAGGAGAGGAAAGGTGAGCAGGTGCAGTCTGCTTGGTCAGCGACATTCCTGAGGTTCATGGCTACTGGTTAAGGTGCCAGCGGTGGTGATAAAAAGGACAGACTAGAAAACACATCAGGATGGGAAAGGAGAGCATGCCAGCTTCCACGTATGTCCCCCTCGCTACGTACAGTAAGCGATGTCTGTAAGTCCAGCATTGGTGAAACAAAACTGCCTTGATCAGTCACTGTGTTATATGCAGAAGAACGGTGTTTTTTTGTTTTTTGTTTTGTTTTGTTTTGTTTTGTTTTTTGGTTACAGATTTATTTATTGGAAAGTCAAATTTATGGCTGGTGGAGTGGGGAGTCAGAGAGGTGACTTCCATCTCTTGCTTCACTCCCCAATGTCCACAATGAACAGGGATGGGCCAGGGAAAAGCAAGGAGCCAGGAGCTTCATCTGGACCCCCCATGTAAGTTGTAGGGGTTCACACACTTGGGCCATCCTCTATGCTTGTCCCAGACCGTTGGCAAGGAGCAAGATCAGAAATGGAATAGGGCCTGGAGTCATGGCTTGCAACAGTGAAAGCAGGAAGAAGCCAGGAGCCAGAGGTGCCGGGGATCTGCGTTCTGGAGCCACCACTGCCGCCTCCCAAAGTGGGCATTGGCAGGAAGTTGATGTTGATGGCGCCAGAGAGGCCTTTCTCCAAATGGGATGGTGGCACCTGCAGGCAGAGGATTAGCCAATTGAGCCATCGTAGCAGCTCCAGATGTTACATTTTATTGACAATAGTTGATCTATATGTCTCCCATATCCAAAGGTCCATATCTGTGATTTCAAGCAAACATAAATTCAAAATATTTTGGGAAAGGAATGAGCATTGGGCACAGCAGTGAAGTCTCTGCTTGAGACACTCGCATCCCATATGGGCAAGTCTGGTTCAAACCAGGCTCCTCTGCTTTAATCCACCTGACTGCTGGGGCACACACTGAGAGGCCCTGGGTGACGACCCAAACACCAGTATCCCTGCCATTGTGTGGGAGGCTCCTGGCTTCTACCTGGCCCAGTCCTGGGTGTGACATTCTAGAACAAATTCTCCCAGAGTTACTAAAGGACCAACTATGTTAATATTTATTGTTAATTCATCTGCTTCTTTTTTTAAGATTTATTTTGTTTTTGTGGCAAAGTCACATATAAAGAGGAAGATCTTCCGTATGTTGATTCACTCCCCAAGTAACCGCAACGGCCAGTGCTGTACCAATCTGAAGCCAGGAACCTCCTCCAGGTCTCCCACTCGGGTGCAGGGTCCCAAGGATTTGGGCCATCCTCGACTGCTTTTCCAGGCACAAGCAGGGAGCTGGATGGGAAGTAGGGCTCCCAGGATTAGGACCGGCGCCCATATGGGATCCCGGCGCTTTCAAGGTGAGAGCTTTAGCTGCTAGGTCACTGCGCCGGGCCCACACCTGCATTTTTAAATGATGTATTTATTTATTTGAAAGGTAGAGTTATAGAGGCAAAGAGAGGGAGAGATAGAGAGGAAGAGACAGAAGATGTTCTAGCTTCTGGTTTACTCCCTCAGATAACCACAAAGTCCAGAGCAGAGCTGATCCAAAGCCAGAAGCAAGGACTTTCTTCTGGGTCTCGACCCAAGGACTTGGGTCATCCTCCTCTGCTTTCTCAGAGTTTGGCCAGGAGCTGGGAACTTCATACAAATCTCCCATGTGGAGGCAGGAACCCAACCACTTAGCCATCCTGCTGCCTGCTGGGGTGTGTGTGTTAGCAGGAAGCTGGAACTGGGAGCAGGGCTTGAACCCAGCAGTCTGGCTGCCCATGACTTTGATCACTGAATACTTGGCAAACATTCCTTTTATGTGTGTGTGTGTGTTTTTTTAAGATTTATTTTATTCTTATTGGAAAGTCCGTGTTACAGAGAACAGGAGATACAGAAAGATCCATCCACTGATTTACAAATGGCCACAATGGTTGGAGCTAAACCAATCCAAAGCCAGGAGCCAGGAGCTTCTTCCAGGTCTCCCACATGGGTGCATGGTCCCAAGGCTTTGGGCCGTCCTCCACTGCTTTCCCAGGTCACATGCAGGGAGCTGGATGGGAAGTGGAACAGCCAGGACATGAACTGTCACTTATATGGGATCCCAGGCGTGCAAGGCAAGGATTTTAGCCCAAGCGTTCCTTTTGTTTTTAGAAAATGTCAAGCTGAAATTGATAGGACAGTAAATCCTGGGAGAACTTCTACAATTCAACCAGTGAACCATGGCAAAGATTCCAGATCATCACGTTAGCTGTCTTCTTCCATTTCTTCGACAACGCCCACTTGCTGGTGATGACTCACACTGCACAGAGAACCAGCCCAACAACTGGATCTGCAGCGTCTGCTTCCGAAAGCAGCTCCAATATTTTCAATGCCGAACGTATGGTGGAACGAAGCTTGGAAACATCAGTCTCTTGTTTGGAAATTTCAATAAATCCAGACTTTTTACTCAACATAGCCGGAGCACCATCTGGCATCATAGAAACCTTTTTTTTTTCATATTAAACAGAAGCTCTTTGTCAGATGTTAAAAAAATTTCAAAAGATTTATTCTACAGATTTTTTTTTAAAGCTGTGAACAGATAATGTACCTCCCTACATTTGGAAGAGTTTTGAAGCTAACTCTCCATTGGATCTCATGGCAGGCTTGACTCGGTTAAATGTTGCACTTTTCCAAAATTGAATTAATTTCTCCTTGCAATGTTCCTTTGTTCTCTGGGTAATTCTTCAATGGTTTACCAGATGAGTACACTCTTTCTTCATCATTTTCAAACAAAATATTCACAACTAAAATTGCATCGTTGTAAGAATCCACGTCATTGGACTCAGCGGCATGGCCTAGTGGCTAAAGTCCTCGGCTTGAATGCACCAGGATCCCATATGGGCACTGGTTCTAAACCCCGGCGGCCCACTTCCCATCTAGCTCCCTGCTTGTGGCCTGGGAAAGCAGTCGAGGACAGCCCAAAGCCTTGGGACCCTGCAACCCAAGTGGGAGACCTGGAGGAAGCTCCTGGCTCCTGGTTTTGGATTGGTTCAGCTCCAACCGTTGCAGCCACTTGGGGAGTGAATGATCAGACGGAAGATCTTCCTCTCTGTCTCTCCTCCTCTCTCTGTATCTATCTTTCCAATAAAAATAAATAAATAAATCTTTTTTTAAAAAAAAGATTTATATGTTGTAAAACCAGGGAGATAAAAAAGGGAGTCAGATATGAGGCGAGATCCCCCTTGCTTTCACTGATCCACTCCCCAGACGAAGGCAACCGTCAAAGCTGGGCTAGGCCGAGATCAGGAGCCAGGAACTGCATATGGGTCTCCCACATGGGTGACATGAGCCCAGCCCTCCTCTGCTGCCTTCCCTGGCACATTAGCAAGAAAGTAGATCAGAAACACAACAATGGGACTTGAACCAGCACTCTGATAAGGGATGCTGTGTCTGTCACAAGCAGCGGCTTAACATGCTGTACTACAACCAACCACACAATATGACCAGCTGACTTCACTCAACGTCTTTAAGCTTCATTTATGTTGTAACATGTGTCAGGATTTCCCCCCCCCCACCCGCCCCCTTTCAGGCAGGCCTATGACTTCCTAGTTAAGGCACCTGCATGCTGAAGAGTGGACCTGGTTCAAATTGAGCACTTCTGCTTCCAATCCAGTTTCCTGGGAGACAACAGTGAAGACCCCAGGTCCTTCCACCCGTGTGGGAGACCCAGACTGAGTTCCTGCCTCCCAGCTGCAAGCTGGCTGCTGTGGGTATTCGGAAAGTGAACCAGAGAGAGGAGGTCTTTGTCTGAGTCTCTCTGCATTTCAAATACATCAAATAAATTTTTTAAAATAAGCCTTTGCGAAGCCTTGTCCTTCCTTTCAAGGCTGGGTCACAGTGCCCTGTAAGGACATTACGCTTGGTCCATTCTTCTGTGTTTTGATGCACATCAGGTGATTTCTGCCTTGTGGCTCATGTGAGGAATGTGAGGGCAGGAGTACGCAGACACTTCTTCCGGGCTCGGCTCGGCTTCCGCTCGCTGCATGCCGGGAAGGGAAAAGTGCTGTGTCGCAGGATATTCCTGCTGATTATTTTTGAGAAGACCACGCATTATTTTGCTTAGCGACTGTGCAGTGGCACGTTTTCGCTAGCGATGCACAAGGGTATCAGTGCTCCGGTGGGTCTACAGCCTCAACGACACACATCATTGTCGCCAGTTGCTTTACTTTGCTTTTGATTAGTAGCTTTCCTAATTGTTGCAAAGTAGTATCTTCTGATTTTGGTTTGCCTTTTCCAAATGAACAGAGATGTTCAGCATCTTTTATTTGATTCAACAGGGTTTTTTTTTTTCTTTAAACAGGGTTTTTTATTTTATTTTTGTCACAAAGTCAGATATACAGAGAGGAGGACAGAGAGGAAGATCTTCCATCCGATCATTCACTCCCAAAGTGACCGCAAAAGTTGGTGCTGTGCCGATCCGAAGCCAGGAGCTTCCTCCAGGTCTCCCACACAGGTGCAGGGTGCCAAGGCTTTGGGCCATCCTCGCCTGCTTTCCCAGGCCACAAGCAGAGAGCTGGATGGGAAGTGGGGCTGCCGGGTTTAGAACTGGTGCCCACATGGGAT